AAGAATTAACAGAAAAACACATTTACATTTAGCACTATTTACTGCTATGAATTGATGTCGAAAACTTTTTTATGGTTGTCATTCTATAATTTATTGCCATTTTTCCACAAAAAAATACATGTATCGGGATAAGAAGAGACAAGAATATATTTGAAAAACTATATGAGCATTGGAAGAAACTCACAAAGATTATGATCGAGTATTTTCTTGAATGTTTACAGTTTTCTTTTTAATCATATACCCCGGTATAATAAAAGAACTTGCAATCATTTTTATACAATTTTCAATTGTATTAAATTAAAAAAGTAATCAAATCACCTTTTCTATTTTATTGAAATTCAAATGAAGCCAAAATTAAGATATACTCACCGTCAATGGAAACGCAACACCCTATTTTTAGGTTGAAAATTATATTAGAGTTATAACTATGTACCAAAAAGTTAGGACAACTTTTACTTTGCCAAATCAATGATTTAACGGTTGAATGAATTTCTTTCCACTACCGAAAGTTGCTTTCTAGCCCTCTTAACAGAAATCAAAATTTTGCATTTTGAATAAAAATTTTAACAATATTTTGGGTTTTCGATGTTTTGTAGGCTAGCTGTTAATCATAAGTATTGTACTAAAACGCCAAGGAAAAAAATCCTTCTTTCTTTAACGGAAGTGATGCCTATATTTCCTCAAAATGATTGATTTTCATTGCTAATGCTAAAAATTCTCAAAATAAAGAAAAAAAAAGAGTGCAAATATAAATGTACACTATATAACTACTCACCAGGCTCATGTGTTTCAATAGCATAAATGAAAGTTTCTTGACCGGAAGTCCGAAAGTTGCTACACTACGCGAAGTTAGAGAAAATTCGACCGCAGTATCGGAAAAACATGCTTTTAAAAATGCCCAAAAATACTAATTTCGCTCAGATTAAGATGTCTATAAACCTAATGTTTGGTAGAAATCTGGCTGCATTTGTTGTATATGGCGGACTAGCACGTTTTAATCAAATGGTCGGAAGGGGGGATGTTTTAAGATTTACCTGGTATTTGTTTTGTTCCAAGATTAAAAAAAACATTTAATGATTAAATTGAGTATTCATGTTTTGTAGAATTATCTTTTAAAGATTTATATTGATTTCTAATGTTATCATTAAACTTTAGAAGGTAACACATAACTCTCAAAACATCCCCCCTTCTTGATCTCAGTCATTTTGAGGAAATATAGGCATCACATCATAATTGCTTCGGTATAGAAAGAAGGATTTTATCCCGGCCTTTTAGTACAATACTTATGGTTAACAACTTCAAAACTTTGAAAACCCAAAATATTGTTAAAATTTTATTAAAAATGCAAAATTTTAAATTCTGTTAAGATGGCTAAAAAGCAACTTCCGGTAATGGGAAGAAATTAATTCAACCGTTAAATTACAGATTTGGCAAAGTAAAAGATGTTTTAATTTTTTTGGTACATAGTTATAACCTGTATATAATTTTCACCCTAAAAATAGGGTGTTGCGTTTCCATTGACGAGGAGTATATATTCCTGAAACAGTCGTAAATTCAGGGTTGGTAAATTGGGATTTTTTCCAGATAATTCGTGAATGCTTGATTTTAGCTGATACCTTTTAAATTTTACTATCGTATTGCGCTAAGTGGAACTTGGTCAGCTGTTGTTACTATCTTGAGTGTGTTTTTAAAAAAATTAACAAATACAAATGCATTTAAATTTCTTTTATTTATAAATATTATGTGATTTAAAAAAAATCTCAGAAAATATGAATTGCTCATTGATTCTATCTGAATTGTACGAAGGTATGAAATGAATGGCCAATTCATTCTTTCCTTTATGTTTAACGTATTTTAAATTGACATCCAAATTTTCTTTTAAAAATGTAATTATTCCAAAGTTAGATACATGCCTATGTGAAGATTATAATCCTTTCACATACTAAAGTATGAGAATACGTTTCAATCAAATGTGTCCCAAAATTAGTAGTTTTAGGATTTTCCATATAATAGAGTTTTCTAAACACGATTTATATATAGTTCAGTGTGAAATGCTTAAGCATGAATCGTGATATTATTTAGAAAATTTCAATAAATATATTTTCTTCAAATCTGAGTCTTAGCCCGGCCCTTTAACCTTTCACTGTTGTAAATGCATGTTCACTGCAAGTCATCTCCCTTATCCATACTTTTTCTTTTAGTATGTCTTCTCCAAATAAATGGTTTTTCAGAAAAAATCTAAAATTTTAAACATTTCCTTCCTACATGTATCTACAACATACGATTTTGGAGTTTGAAAGCTACCCTTTTTCCTGTTCAATATCTAATTACCATTCCCCTAAAAATAATGAAAAAAAATATTCTGTCTTTAATAGAAATATGTTGCATTCCACTATTTATTCTTTGACACAGATGGAGCCAAAGAGATGATATTTAAGGCTTTCTGGAAAGCCAAACTTGTCCTTATTTACTTTCGTTCAAGCAAACGCTTGGCTGCCTCTGAAAACCCTTGTTGCGAACTGTCGGAGTTGACATAGACAGCCGCCATATTGGGCCCGCTTCAGATTTTTAAACGCTTATATCTAGAGTTTAGATTTATCAATGTTCAAACAAATCCCATAGTAAGCATTATAAGAAGGGTCTCTATTAACATTCCAAAAATAAATGAAAAATATTAAAAAACAAAAAAGTTACAAAATACGGACTATTTAAATTTTCTTTCGCTAGCGACCAGAAGTACTGACGACAAACGAAAAGGTGATTTCACATATCTAAAAGTCATCATCTATCATCTCTAACAAGTCTCCAGTTAATATCTTAGACCATTTTTGTAAAAAGGGGGGACAAAATCCATTTTAAAATCAGAAACTGTCAATTACTTGGAACCAAAGGTGAGTATTCCAAATTTTCATTCTGATGAACAAGGTTCATATAATGACGCATGATTCCTGAAAGTTTCATTGAAAACCACCGAATAGTTTTCGAGAAATCGCCTGCACAAAATTTTGGGGAAAAATTAAGAATAATAATAATAAGAAACAGTAGAATCACTAGAAGGTCTTTCGCTGAAGACGGAAGACCTTAATTAATGAAAGTGAAATCAAATCCGTAAATTATGTACGACATTTCCTATTTACATTTTTAGATGAAAATTAAAATTTCAAAGAAAATGTAAATAGGATATGTCGTACAGCAATGTTAAATTACCAACGAACAAAAGCATCCGTGAATATTTAACCAAAGAAGCTACAGAAGCTTTGGCTTTATCATTAATTAATTCTCATCTAGATTATCGTAATGTTATTTTGTTTGGAACAACATAAAGCGAAAATAATAAAATGCAACAAATTCAAAATATGTGTGCTAAATTAGTTTTAAAAAGGGGGAAATTTGACAGTTTAAAGGATGCCCTATTCGATCTCAACTGGATACCTACCAGATCCAGAGAATAATTAAAAATCTTACTTTAATAAACAATAACTGGGCCAAGCACCAAAATATTTAATGGAACTTTTGTCAAAACATACCTAAATCAAAAATTGCGTTCTTCTCGAAATTCCGAAAGTTGCGATACAGTACCATTTAATAGAAGGCAAACATTCAGTGACAGGTGTTTTAATATGATTTGACCAAAATTGCGGAATTAGCTGCATTTGTACATAAAACAATCAAAATCTATTATTGAATTTAAAAAAAACATTTAAAAAGCTACTTCTTTAGGGACTTTTATGCTTTATTTTAATTATTACCGGTACTTTCCACTTGTTCATTTATATATATTATATGTATACATTTACCATAGAAACTTTGTACAATGCCAATGAATATGTTAATGTAAAATGGGCGTTTAATTAAATAAACCAGTTTCAGCTTCATTTTCAGTATATCTGTACAAAAAAAAACATGTATAAGAAAAGGGTATGGAAATAACGAACAGTATTCAATCTCAACGTCTCAAAAAATTATATGCAAGTCTGAATTAAGGATTATTTGAAACCTTCACTTGCCTCATTATTGTTCTTCTGCGTAAATTTAATTTACCTTCCGAGCTTAGATTCAGATCATTTTGCTGATACAGGATATTCAATCAATAAACAGGAATATAAATTACTTTTGTACTGCATAGAAGACAAATGATATTTGCAAAAGAATTAAATGGTATTAATATTTGTATGAGCCTTGATTTTTTTTGTTGTTGCATATATTCTTAAAATGATCGATTTTTTAAAAGAAATCTGTTCTTTATATTTAACCAACAATTTATGATGTTGAAGATTTTTTTTTAGTGATAACGAGCAATGTAACATTTTTGAATAAGTTTTCTTTTTATATCACAAATGTAATAAGTTTCACTATAAACCCTGAAAAATGCTGAGTCACACCGGAAACAGTTATGTCATGGTTGAAACAGTTATGTCACCCCGACGGAAACAGTTATGACATCCTTTCGATCACGTTCACGTGTTGCTACGTTACGCATTTTAGCTCGGGTTCGAGATGTTATGACGTCGATTGCTAAGCAAATGTAAACAACGGAGCGTTATTCTTAACGTCAAGAAAGCATTTCTGGATTATTTGTGAATTTTCAATTATTTTAAATGATATAATTTTTTTCGTAGTTTTAAAAATGTCATATTACATATACCACATGGCTTCGAGGGTGACATACCAGAATATTTGCCCAGAGGTGACAGGAAATCCCTGGAGTGTTATGTCACCCAATGCCGAAGGCATGCCGAGTGTCAAATATTCTGGTATAGTCGCCCGATTTATGTCTACGAGAAGGATATAGAGATAACGAACAGTATACAATCTCAAAGTCCATAAAACAATACAAAATAAGAGAAGAGCAAACACGGACCCCCGAAACATCAGAGGCGGGACCAGGTGCCACGAAGGAGTAAGCATCTCCTGCCGTGTGTTCCTTGTCATGATCAGGAAATAACGGAAAAAATCTGTCGTCAATTCAGTGTATAAATAATAAGTATAATATATTTATAATGAGGTATGATAATATTTCTTTGATCATTACTTATTTGCTTTTTGCCTTCCCTTTATCTTTTTGGGGTTTTAATTAAATCTTTCATTTTTTCAGAACTTTCAGAGATGTTCGAGAGAAATGGTGTTTTCCCATCACTGTGTTTTATAAAAATCATATCTTTTGTTATAATCCTGTTTCTGATTCCAAGTACGGAACATCCTTTATTGACTTACTTCTCTACATAAGATACATTTGACTCGTTACTCAATAATACAAATAACTTCCTAGGATATATCGCACACATTGGTTTCAAGCAGAGGAGTACTTTGTACAACAGCAACGGTATTACAGTGGTACTCAATGTTCCATACCGGGCTGTGTTTTAGAAACAAATGTTTCCAAGGCTGATATCGTGGTATTCAGTCACAGACGTATTCCTAAACAAGTGATTAAGAAAGAAAAAGGACAGATCTGGGTGTTTAACACGGCAGAAAGGAAAGTCCGTACCACACTTAGTCCAAACAAAGACTGGATGAAACATTTTGATTTATCCATGTTGTATATGGAGGAATCAGATATTTATGTACCATTCTACGGGATATTGCAAAAAATACAAGAACCCGTCATCAAAAACTACACTGGAATACTCAGCAAGAAAACTAAAGACGACGTATGGGTTTCAAGCAACTGTCCAACTCCTTCGAGAAGAGAAAAATTAGTTGAAGACCTAAGTAAATACTTAAAAGTAGATGAATTTGGCAGCTGTGGAACTAAAAAATGTGGCAAGCAATATGATAATTTGAAGGAGTGCCTGGACATATTCGAAAGAGATTACAAATTCTTTTTTTTTCTTTTGAGAATTCACTCTGCAAAGGTTATACAACAGAAAAACTGTTTTCACTTTATTTAAACCGTGCTCACGTGATAGCTGTTATTAACGGACCAAAAGACGCCAGTCAATATCTTCCTAAAGGAACTTATATTAACAGTCAGGATTTCCCTTCTGTCAGACTTTTAGCCAAAGAATTGATCAGAATAGGTTTCAATGAAACGGAATACATAAGCTACTTAATGGAGAAGGACAATTTCCAAAATCTTTTTGAAAAACCGTTTTAAATGCTCAGTGTGATTTATGCAAATATGTAAGAGATATATATAACGGGAAAAAGACGAAGAGAAACAAATCCTGGCTCAATGTTTTAAATCCAGATGTATATTGCACGAAAGGTAGATAAGGAATAGAAAATACCAATGTTGTAGATTATATTCTGAATTATTTATAGTTAAACATTGCAAAAATAAAAAATAAGCGAGTGAAAAGGAATTTGAAACAGGAAGTAAAATAATGTATTAAAAAGGGATAAAGAACTCAAAAAAAAAATCATTAGACAATATAATATTGCCTTGTAATTGTCTCCTTAATGTTTGTTTTATATAATACTAGTAAACGGTTATATTCTTATATAATTCACGTAGTGTTTGTTCACGTGTATTGACAATTATAAATAAGTACGAGTCTACGGACAATTGTTAGTTGAACAGACCTGAACATTATCGACGACAGAATCAAAAACGCCTCGGGTGAATTAAAACCTTAAACAACGTAAGGAGCAATTTATAGTGACTACTGTATTATCCAACACCTGTACAGTTCTTCACACTTTGAATCCTGACGTTAAATGTCTTTCCCATTTTACAATTTTTCATGTTTTATGCACTTTGCAATCCAAGCCTCTGTCTATTCCAACACAAAATTCGTATCCAAGTACATGTTAGATAAGACAGGTTTCACTAAACTACATTCTATGAAGCCTAATGAAAATCATCGAAAAATAAATGAAATTGATAATTTTATGAATAAAGAAAAACCTACATACCAACCCCATGGGTGTCGTCGTTTGCTTTCTTGTTTTGATCGTATTTGTTGGATTAAAAACGCCGTTTTAACTTATGTTTTTTATTCCAATATCATTTCAATTTCAATGAAACATATGGAGAAAAACAGCAGTATTCAAGATTAAAAGTCAATAAAAAAAATACAAAACAGCTGCAGAGCAAACAAAGACCTCCAAACATCAGAGGTGGGATCAGGTGCCATGGAGCAAACGGTGGATGTGACCGGGCCGCAGGGGATGCTCATTCCTCCATGACCCCTGATCCCACTTCTGATGGTTCAGAGTTCCGTTTTTGCTCTGATCCTACTTTGTATTGTTTTACTGACTTTGATATTGAATACTGCTCGTTATTTCCGTATCCTTCATATCTTTGTTGAAACCCCTTTGTGGATATACATGTATATGGGAAAAGACCACTAATTATTTTCCCATAGAACTCCATACAAACCTTAGGCCCTCTCAGTACTTTACTATGACAATTTCAGAAAAATCTTTAGCATCATTTCAAAATTTGTTCGAAGCCCTAACAAAAAATACTGAAAAAAAATATATGGTCCCATTGCGTTTATAGGTCAAAATTGCAGTTATTTTCAACTTATAGAGATTCGCAGTAAATAACACGCGGCAAAAAAAATCAACCCCCTCTCCTAAAATCTTCCCTGGTATTTCTAAAGTTTCTGTAATATTCCCTCATCCCATCATTTATTTCAAAGGTCATTAATTTTACTTTAAAATGAAAACAATTAAATACCTGATTTCAGCCAATGGCGTAACGCCTACCCATTCAGTATTCGGTTTAATGTTCCATAACAAACAAAGCCATGTGTGCATCCGGGGATTTGGTGCTCTCTTTCCTATACTCACATACTTACCTATCTCAGAATTAGTCAATTGTGGTAATTTCAAAGACTATACACCTACCTGTGAACATGTATGAAATTTGAGTCCTGTGACTTCAGTGTCTTGGATCTGTGACCATCTCAAATGATGACACCTTACTGCTTCCAGCACAATTCAGTGGAGTGAATGACGTCTGGGGCGGTGATGATATTTGGATATATTGGAGACTGTAATAAATAAAATAGTTGTACAATGAATTGTTTTTGTGTTTTTATGTTAATAAAGTGATATGAAGTTAAAATTGAGTCAATAATTTCATAAGGGTGGATTCTACCCAGAATTAGGTAAAAAGCTCAAAAATTGGATAAATCATAGATAATTAAGCAAAATTCAAAGGTTTTAAAAAGACTGATACAGAATTTTTTTTATTCCTATGCAAAGTAAATTATTTAAGACTCTGATATAATAATTGATTTTTATCTAATCCCTCCTATTGCTTAAGTATGTACAAAAAAGTTTCCCCACCCCCCAGTGAAAAACACTTAAAGAAATAACAGGTGCCCCCTTTTATTTTTGTTTACAATTAATTTAGACAAGTTTAAATCAATCCTTTTGATAACAAATCAAAGTTCAATGTCTGTAGTCTTATACATTACAATCAGAAGCTTCTTTTTGTATTTTATGCTAAGAAAAGGAGAATTTAAAAATTTTTTTTTTAAATTAAAGAAAAGCAAAAACTGACTTCAACCCCCAAAATGTACTATACAATAAGAGGCTGGAAAGTTAATAAATAAAAAAATTACCTGCAATGTACAGAAAACTGTCCGACAAAATACATCAGGTGGGTAAGGAATCTCCATTTTCTTCTTATGTAGAGAAAATGCCCCTGTTGATCAGAGACCGAACACTCCCGGGGCCAAGAAAGCTGAAAGATGAAATTCCTCTTAAGTGCTTAAATGAAAATAAATCAATAAAATTAGTCAAATTAAGCATAAATCATGAAAGAAACAACAATATGTTTCAAGTTTTATAAAAATTTCCTTAATTACATGTCTTCTACATAGCTAAATGTATGAAAAATGGATCCGCCAAGGGTGGAATACATGTTTTTTCAATATTACATAATATTACATGTGAATATAATAAAGCTCAAATGTCATACATGCAGTTCAAGGTCATTACAATAATTTATGAAAAAAAATCAGAAGCCAAAGGTCACAACTGTTAAGATATCATCATGTTGAAATTCCACCTATCTGGTCAGCAGGTCTAAGGGAAGTAACTCTAAGTACAAAAACTAGAAACCATTAGAAAGTGAGTCGCAGCGAGTAATTCTGAGGAAACTACGAAGAGCGAAAAAAGAGAAAACATAGACCTTTGTGTAGCTACAACATAGAAACAAAAAAAAACTACAAACAGATCACCCTGCAACCAAGAAAGGGGGGGGGACTCCAGAGGAACACATACACTACCAAACATGAGATGACAAGACAGAAAATGTCCTCCTTTCACTTGTCCGTCACAAAAATTCCATTTATGTGCCACCTTAATTATTTGAAAAACTGCTAAAAATGCAAAAGTCTAGGAAACGAAAAAAAATGAACACCAGGTCACTGTCCAACACTTCCATAATATACACAGATAGAGCAAAACATAATAAATACACAGTCACATGTACATGCAAAATACATACATAAATCTATGCATACATACAATCATTCATCTTAAGAACAATTTAATACATTTTCTTAACTTACCTTCCTCCTTTGACCATGTCAACTGTACAGGACTTTACTAATTTCTATCTTCTCTTACCCCCCCCCCCCTCCTCTCTTTAAAAGACCCAAATCACCTCTAACCCCATTACCGCAGTAAACTAATTCAAATTTTTGCTAAATTTTCTCTCGAAATGTCATCAATCTTCAAATAATTAGCAAAAAATAACATTTCATGACTTTCAAATCACTTTGAAGTGTAAAAATTGGGGTCTCTATAGGGAAAAGACCACTAATTATTTTCCCATAGAACTCCATACAAACCTTAGGCCCTCTCAGTACTTTACTATGACAATTTCAGAAAAATCTTTAGCATCATTTCAAAATTTGTTCTAAGCCCTAACAAAAAATACTGAAAAAAATATATGGTCCCATTGCGTTTATAGGTCAAAATTGCAGTTATTTTCAACTTATAGAGATTCGCAGTAAATAACACGCGGCAAAAAAAAATCAACCCCCTCTCCTAAAATCTTCCCTGGTATTTCTATAGTTTCTGTAATATTCCCTCATCCCATCATTTATTTCAAAGGTCATTAATTTTACTTTAAAATGAAAACAATTAAATACCTGATTTCAGCCAATGGCGTAACGCCTACCCATTCAGTATTCGGTTTAATGTTCCATAACAAACAAAGCCATGTGTGCATCCGGGGATTTGGTGCTCTCTTTCCTATATCTATGTATCTCTGCTACAATTTTAAATATATAGTATTTCAATCTGACTCTGTTGACAAGGAAAAATGATTTTTTTTTTTTTAAAAAGCTTAGTCAAGAATGTCCATCAATCTGATGCATGCGTCACATGAATTATATGTCAGTGTGCTAATATAATAGTTTTCCTTAAAAAAGCATAAAAAATTTTTGTTGGAAGACACTTGTGTAGAATGTACAATGTAATACTTGTGTTTGTACGATCTAAGCTGTTCACAACATTAATTTGTAGAATAAAGATTTACAGTTTATGTAATATATACAAATGTACAGTACCGACCAGACCCAACCTGACACAAAGCAGTCCCAGAGCAGTCCCGGGGACTGCTTTCTGGGACTGCTAAAGCAGTCCCGCAGCGGTCCCGGAGCAGTCCCACAGCGGTCCCAGAGCAGTCCCACAGCAGTCCCAGAGCGGTCCCAGCAGTCCCAGCGGTCCCAGAAAGCAGTCCCAGCAGTCCCAGTGGGCGGGGTTTATTAATTTAATGGGCGGGGCTTACTCAGAAATGAGATTTCCAATAAACAATGGAACTATAAAAGGCAGCTGAATTTTTTTCTGAGCAGTATGCCAGGAATCCTTACAATGCGAAGGTCATTTACATGTATGAGCAGTACCCGCATAGATTTGAAACGATTTGAAATAATATTTATTGAAGGAAGAAAGCTTACACACCTACATACATTTGTAAATGAATTACACTGAACATGAATATTTAATCACAATTATCTTGGGTTTTTTTGTGATTGATACAGGCTCTCATATTTATTTTCTATACAGAAAATTAAAATTGAATTAATTATATTTCACCAGAATTAGTTTTAAGTAGATCTAATCATTATAGATCATGGCCGATTTCCATACTATCGGGATACTCTAAATGCATTTTTTAAAAAGTAT